CCACCTCCCAGACCCCGGACAGAACTGGGCCCCCCCAACGGCTCACGCTCCGGCGCAATGCCCGTGAAGATCCGGATGCGGCTCGTGACCGCCTGTGACCCAACCACGACACGGTCTGGGACTACCAAGACGGACGGACCGTGAAATGGCCAGGGGTGGTTTGAGGACTCGAGGCCATGGCGTGTAGGCATGGGAGATGATGTCCAACAGTTGTGCATCTAAGACCCTCCAAAAGGTTTCCAAGGTGATCGTTGGAGCTGATTTCCCAACATGCATTTAAGAAAAGCATGACCAATGGAAAAAGTCTTTCATCACCGTTGGAGATTATTAAATGGTGGCTTTTTCCCACAGATCTCCAAAAGTCTTTCTTTGGATGAACAGTCAACATGACCAGCTCGTATGACTCAGTGGCTGTCACTGGCTGCGGTATGTCAACGCCTGCACTTCGGTCTCTCTCAGCTCCGGTCTCCAGCATCTGCCTTGACACACACGATCAGCAACATGGCCAGGAGAACGAAGACGGAAATATTACAAAGGATCGGCTGGCTGTAATGAATCTGAAAGGAGCAAAGGCCTGAGTCTGCGATCTGCTCGGACACAATCAGTTAGGTGCCTTCCCCTCGAAGGCGGAGAGACAGTTTGTGAAAGAGAGTAAGAATCCTCATGCTAGCATCATGCTATTAATACAACAACAGATTTCTCAGAATACTCAGCTATTAATACTCATGCTACTCATCATCATTATTAATGAGAATGACTTGAAAATCTGTTGATGGGTCACCTCCCCGGAAAAGGGCACGAACACAAACACCACAACTCATCTGCTCCAGCGACCAAAAGAGGTGGCCAGAGCGGCTCGGGCGCCCGGTATGCTAACAGTGGCTAAGCCCAAGTGAGTCAAGTGAGACCAATTGAATAAGGTCAGGCCCAAACATCATATCAAAACAGTTTGAAACATCATATCAACTAAGCATATCCAACTGGCTGCGAGGTGAAAACAAGCTGGGCCATGCTCAAGGAAGGCATCAGCCGTCCAATGAGCCAAGCTTGGTCTTGGATTCGAGGACGACCTGACAAGCCTTCGGCCTTCAGACAGGCGAAATCGGGGGAAATGTTCTCTGAGCGAATCTCACATCAGCAGAAGGAAAAAGAACGCGTCATGTCAAAAAAGGAGGCATGACACACATAACAGTACATAACAGCACCATGGAGGAGAGAGCGCCATGGAGGAGAGTAAAACCCTATCCCAATGACCAATGACCCGATGATTCCCAGTTAACATGGTGCTTTTCTTGGTCGAGTCCAGGTCGTAGGCAAGGCGGATCGTCTGAAGTGTTGACACGAGCTCGTGGCCAACAAGAAGCGTAGCAACCTTCTATACAGTATATATTACTATATCCTATTCTTATTTCTTTACTATATATATATATAATACACATATATATTGTATTATATTGTTATTGCTGGTGGGCAATGGAAGGATTCTATGGCCAAGGTCAAGGTGCTATACACCAGCACGAAGAGCGCCCAAGGCACCAAGGAGCACCTAGGCATCAAGCAAGAGTGGGTGAGTGAGTGAGATAGTGAACGCCAAAGTACATGTACAAAGAACACAAACAAGTATGACCAAAAAATATGAATGAACAAATGAACACATCATATATAAATATAAATATATAGAATACGGAGCATGGAAATCTTTCCTCTTCAGCAAACCTGAAGCGGATAATTGCGGATAATATATGGATTCCCGCACGTGCCCTCGCATTGTGCTTACACAACTAGAACGCTGCAAAACAAATGTTCATTCGATCTCTTCATGCGGACTTACCCACTCTGCACACCTCTCAACGCGAATAGCGCACCTGATCCTAGAGCACTCCAACCACTCGACCCCTTACAGGCTGACCCCTCCCCTCTGGAAGCCTGAACTTTTGCTTGGGGCTGGGTTGTTCCAAAAGGCACAAAGATTTTCGAAGAGAAATGCAACAAACCTACCTCAGTCCCAGCTTTTGGCTTTTGGAAGATTTTTCTGTTCCGGCAAGGCACACAACGAGGGGCACGAAGTTCATCTTCCGCTTGGGGAGCGGGAGCCAAACTCCCTTGCTGAAGGCTTGCAAGGCATCGTAGCCTCATGGTTGCTGGGGCTGCATTCGGAGTTTGCAAACTGATGAAGGAAAACACATCAACTCCCTCTTCCACAAGCCTGGCACCAACCGAAGTGGGATTGGTTGGACAAGCCTTTCCTTCTACTATGTAGGCCCTTGGATTGCTGCCTAAGGGGTGTTACCTGCCATGTTCGGTGGGGCAAAAGAAGATTAATCTGGCCAGTGCGGCTGGAATCTGCAAAAGTAGACTCATGATTTGCATATATTTGCATATTTGTTACCTCTACATACTTGTAGCAATATTGAACCCTCACCCTGGCCTGTGACATTCAATGATGATGCATATGATGAATCAAAAGCCCAAGGAAAGAATGACAAAGGCAAAACCACTCACGGCATCGTAGAGGTGGGGGCACCTACTGGGGCACCTCTACTGGCACCAAAACATGGCCAGAAACATCACGACGGGTGGTTAATGGACACCCCTTAACATCTAAGGAAGGGGCTATCAAAAGAAGCCCCTATTAGGGTGTCTTGGTACTCAGTACTTGAGGCTCTTGAAGCCCCTCAATTTCTACCCATAACATTGGTCGACTTCCCTGTGAGAACTATATTAAGCCCCCTCCGCTTTACTTTTGCGCAGACTTTGCTTGCAGCAAGCAGCCTCCAAACAAGCCGCGCTGTTCAGCAAAAAGGTTTTGCCTCAGCACGGCTCCCCGAGCCAATCGGAGAAGAGGCGTGGGGCCCGTGCATAGGAGTGAGACAGAAGAATCAATTCGTTTGCCTTGATCTGGGTGTGTAGGCTTGAGATGTCTCCTGAAATCCCAGCATCTCCGGCATCTCAGCTCCTGAAATGCATCTCACCTAGTATAACAAAACAATCCATGACAGCATCGTTCGAACATGGGGGGGAAATCATTGGACCACGAGAGACCTGAGAGAACTCCCAACGCGACCGAAAGTGCGGCACATGATGCACATGTTGCTTTGCCACACCCAGACACAAGCCATGGGACTGCCATATATATATATGCCACCCCGTTGACCCCTCTGGCACCACCCCAATGTCTGGGACAAGTCGTGGCATATAAAATAGATGCACAGCTTTATGCACCAAAAACTCACGTCTCTCTTCATCGTCTCTCCATCCAGGGCGCTGTTCCGGGTACGGGTTCATTTCCTAAGACTTCGGTGCCGCGAGCTGATGGAGCTTCACCGAAATCATCACGAGCGGCATCGACACCGGCAAAGGACACGCGCGTGGAGGACCCGGAAACACCCGCCCGGACTCGCCGAACGTCCAGTGCAGGTCTGAGGATGTTTTGGTGAGACTCGCCTTGATCCTGAAGTCCACTGATTTTCGATCTGCAGAGTGGGACTGGCAGTTGCGCTATTAACAATAAGTTAGAAGCTGAGATGCTTCAATCACACCTGTGCAACGTGTTTAACAGTAGAACACTGAATCGGCTATATTATGTTAATGCAATTTATAACGATGAACACGGTAAACCATGACACCGGTGCGTACTTCAGAAACCAAAGAATAGAACGTGTCATGTAATTGAGAGGCACCTAAGTGTCACGACACGGCGCAGGTCCCCCGCTCCTTGCGGTCATTTGAGTTCATTTGGGACTCGGTGTAGTTTCATATCCCAGACACGACCCATGGGACTGCCATAGATGCCGCCCCATTGACTCGCCTGGCATCACCCCTGGCCTGATCGGCAGTCCTATGGCAGTCCCATGGGTCGTGTCTGGGTATCGAAATGGTTTTCTAAGGGATTTCAAGGGCCCCCAGTGTCACACGCTCCACTGCTTCGAGGTTCGGATAAGTTACACGGAGAAGGACTGCGAGGTAGTGATGCAGTGCGAGAGATATTTCCTGGGCGCAGTGTAGGACTACCGGCAGTTGGCATTCTGTTGTGGGGATGGGGGGACCTAGGGTCCAAACAACAAACAGGGAGGGTCCAGCAACACAATCCTTCGGCACTTGAAGGCAAACAACTGGAGTAAGCAACATCCGCGGAGTGGTTGGAGGACATCATGGTTGGGTTCCACTCGGGGTATCCAGAAAAACACATGTGAGAGAAAACCTTCGACATTCCTAATCTTGACCGTGACAGCTCCAAGACTCCAAGAATATAAGAATGATCTTTGCAGACTTCCCTTGGGGTCTTGGAGCTTGCAAGCCATTCTTAACAAGACTTACCAGCTCCAAGACTTGCCAGGGGTCTCTTGGTGTCAAAAGAGTTTAATCAAAGAGTATCTGCTTGCAAGCTAAGAATCGCTAAAGCGGATGAGACAGCAGAGTGCAGGAAGATAGATCACTCCCGTCTTGAGCCGAGATAAGTGAATTCGCTGCATTGGGTGACCGTCAGGTGATGGAAGGGTGAAGGAAGGATGATGCTCTCGGTCATGGTCATCCTTCACCAAGCAGTTCGAAACTTCGAATCGGCAGGGGTCGACCACGTCGGTTCGAGCGGCGAGGGGTGACTACGACTTCGGCGTTCGGATGACAAAGCATGGTGAGGTTGGCTAAGTCGAAGTCACCACAATGAGACTTCGATAAAGCTCTTCGATATACACCAAATATTCAAGGTCCTCACCACGGAGGAAATTGAGCAGCTCTAGGATCTATGGGGTGGGGTCGGTCTTATAGTTAACAATCTTCAAGCAAATATGGTGCCAACAGATTCACTGTCCTGAATCGGCCCCAATGGGTCCAGTTTAAGAAAATCACAAATAGTAGATACAACATGATACAACCACTGGTTGTTAAAACCAAAGCAAATGGCAAAACCCTCAAAAGGTTCCAAAATGGGTAAAGATAGGAGATCGCACCATCTACACTCAAATGCCTTCTAAACGAATCGCAGGCATGAGGTCCCCGGCAGTTCAAACAGGCGGTCCGCAAGTTGCGTGAGAAGAAGTCCGCTGCCATCTGCTTCCAAAGGAACACCTGTCGTTGGCCCAGCTCGGTCCCCTGGATGGAATGGCGTGAGCTGTTGGAAGAGTGTTTCATGTGGCTCTACCACATCTGGCCGGCTCCCTGAAGCAAGTTGTGCTCTCGTTGAGGTCTCACAGTCTGAGAAGCAGCAAGCCCACCACGAGGCTTCATGAGGCCTAATGACACACGTGGCTATGGATGATGATGCAAGGACAAGGTGGTGGCTCAATTGCATCGAGTTTGGCACATGTGTGCAGTCGAAGTTAATCAATTTTTACAGTATCTGGCTGTTTCTGTTCGATCTGGGGTGTTGAACAAACAGTTAGAGGGGCACACGGGCACATGCTGGATTTGTCCAACACAAACAGGTGTTGCGCCTGTTTCGGCCTCAAGTTGCCCCTGAACTGACTAGTGCTCATGGCTGGAAGGCCATCAACTACTGAGATGTTCCAAGGGCACCTGCTTCTGGACATCGCCGCGCTTCTCGGTTTCCATCAGGAGGGTCTGATAGTAGCGCCTGAACATGGAATTCGTGCAAAAATAGAACGCGCTCAAATCTAAGACTGGTTGACCCAGAAAAAAGAGAAAAATCAACAATGAGACAATGAGTCACTAAGTTCTCCTGACGGCCAGACGGTGAGAATGTTGCCGATGTTACCCAGAGTTTGGAGTTTCGAAGTCCCACGTTTGCCATTCCTTCATACCTAGATCTTCAGTCCGGCACTTTCTTTAGACTAAAGGAGGATCCAGGTATCTGGCCGAGACATTCCCAATGCCTCCCGAAAATACCGTTTCTGGGGCCAGTGCTGCCGTCCATCTACGGCATGCTTCTTGGTGTAGCCGGTTTTGCCGTGCTCCGGGTGACGGCCATCACTCAGGGTTCGAACCTGGGCAAGGGCAGCGCATTCGGATGTGCGTCTGGCCGCATGAGGCATCCACAAAGTATAGCAGCTATAGCAATGTGATCATTAAATTAATGCATAGGTTCAAATAGGTTCTGGATTGAGTGAGTGAATAGGCCCGGCTTGCTAGAGAAGCCTAGTGGCCTCCAATGAGAAAGGCACACAGCATGCTCATTGCTCATGGATGTTCCGTCCAATGTGGCGAACGTATGACAAGGCCATTCTGCATGCAGCCCAGGCGCAAAGAGAATCCACGCATCATGAAAGCGACCTGGGAGTGCAAGTCAAGGCCCCTTTTCGCAGTCAAGGCGAGGTTAGGCTCTCATAACATTAGGAGTTGATCACCTCATTACCTTAAGGCTTTAAAGACTGGGACTACGCTTCCAAGTCTCTTCCAGTAGCTCCGTGGGCCCCCTGCCTTTACTGTCCACCCGACCCACCGTACCGAAAAGCAGGCACCGCTTCGGCTCTGCCAGCGAGGCACCCATGCGCCAGAGCGACCACACCACTTGCGCGGCGCCCTCCGAGTCCAGTCGGATCCGGAGATCCAGGAGGGCCTGGGAGCGACCACCGCGGCGAACGAACGACCGATCCGGACACCACGACCCAAGGACGGTAGACCAGGACCCAAGTGAGCTTGCCTCACTTCGAAACATGTGGCGGCAACCCTGTGTAGCCTTACTTTTGGATACTTTTGGGAGGGACAAGAAGAGGACTTCCTGTGATTCAGCTAGCTAGAGGGAATATGGATGAATAGGGAACGTCATAGACCATCTTTAAAGTCAAGTTGAACATGTCGCTCTTCAAGGAACATGAATTGAGGACACCTCCCGTGACAAGCTTCCATCCTCCACGGGTGTCAATTGGTGACTCAGGCATGTTCACAGAAATTCAGGGCAAGCGGCCACCATCAAGCTATCCTTAGTCCGAGATTGAGAAGGTGTGGGGCCCCGCTCGTTACAAGTGCGCGGTGCCTTGAGAGGTTCGAATCTTGCCGTGAAAGAAGCAGGAGATTTGTAGCACAACAGGATGCATTCTATACATCTCCCTCGAATCAGCGATGTCTTCAGGGACACGTTCTTTCAAAAGGAGGCACCAGGGCACCGGTGGACCATCTCCCGGGCTTGTCAATTGCAACGAACCAGCCGCCGTGAAATGCTTCAAAAGGTCCAAACCCTCAGCTTTCCTCACTGCGGGCAACATGATCCGAAAAGCAGCCAACACCCCGTGAGTTCCTGCCTTCACTCCCTTGAAAGCCTCACAACCACGGCATCGCCGCAACACATGCAGCACGCGCTCCTTTTTGGTCCACTCCGACACGTCCCGGGCGCGCGCAGGCCCTGGTCTTCGTGGATCGCTCGGCGCGGGCGCCGTCGACGCCGGTGACGTTGGTGCGAGCGAGGCCGGCCATGGAGGTGTTGTCAGCGAGGTGGAAGCAGTCGGGCTCAGGTCGGAAGCCTGAAGTTCCAAGTGCGGAAAGCCATGCGAAAACGGTGACCAACACCTTGCACATCATTGGGCCCCTTCTTGGGAATGGCATTGTACATCATTGTACTAAGTACTAAGATGTACTAAGTTATATATACTGTACAAGCCCAAACCGACTGCGAATCCTCCACACCAAGCAGCGAGGGCACCGGACCCCATGAGGCTGGCCGCAAAGATCTGCAAAGGTAGAAAAGCCTCATCCAGTTTGAGAGTCTGCGTGTTGACCGTATGGAATCCACACCACACATCATCAAGCCATGCCTGTACCAAAACCATCCAAAACCCAAATCCGTGACCATGTGACGAAATCGGTTGTTTGATGAGCACTGCCACCCCCAAAAAAACAACAAGCTTTTGAATGCCTTTGGGCCTTTGACGCACCCTCACACCCCTGACGCTGCGCCGCCCCCTAAACATCATCAACAGTGGTCACAAAATGTCACAAACACAGTTTTTATAATCTCCCTGCTCCACACCAGTTCCTCTGAAATCCACGCTTCGGCACGCGGCCCCCCCCCAAAAAAAGTCAACTGGACCTTACTATGTGCACCCAGTGTAACACCCAACATGCTTCTAAATGGATGATGGACATCTCTACAACATGAATATTAGTCAATGACTGACCCTGTGTTTCACAACCGATATCCAAAATCATTCTCATTTTCTCCCAATCGAGCCGATTTCCACTTCAGGATTGTGAGGAGTCCCTTGGATCGCCGACGGGCCGAGGTGCACGTAGGTGCTTTCCTTCTGCCTTCGCACCTCCTCGGCTGAGACTTCACGCACCAGGTCGTCGTTGTAGAGGTACCAGCGGCCGTCTTCGCCTAGATGCCGGACGCGTGGGACAGGTGGAATGAGGGACTGGGGGGAAGGTGCTCCTATCTTACCAGGGAGCATCAACATTGGGTACATAGAAAGTGCATGCTCAACAGTAAGTTCCCTTCAAACATAAGTTGGAATTGGCGGACTGGAGGGTCGCACACTTTCTATGAGCACCACCTGGGAGCAAGAACTGCCACACTGATTCACGAAGTGCTGCTATTCACCGCCACTAGTAAGACACCCTGTGATCTGGCCAAGATCCAAGCCCCCAGTTCCGTCTTTTGGAAGCATAGCCTTCCCCTGGCACACAACAATACGGAAAATGGTATTGAATATTGGCACTCAAATCCTTGTAGACGGGTGTCTTGTGCCGACTCTTGAGAAAGAAATGCCTACTAACATCTCTGCCAGGATCGCTGATGATATCTTTTGTATCGGACCCTTACCCTCTGGCACCAAGGCGCATGAGCGAACAAAGGCCTGGTAGTGGCCAAACGAGGCTGTGCCCGAGTGGACAATTGTACCTGCGACGGGCTCTTCGGGACGTCTGTCTCTACGTCCAAGCCATGCGATGGGCATCTTTGATCATCTTTGTGTGGACCCAACCATCGCCTAACTGATCTATCACGGTCATTGACCAAGCACATCGTGCACCATATGACATGAATGCAATGAATGAGCACCTTGGACAACCTGTACACTACCAATCCACTTTGCAGGTTGAACTCCACTTTCCATCACTTTCCAGGTTGAACATGGATTACCCCAATCGTGCCGGGCACGCCCAAAAGGTCATAGACCACGTGGCGCTGGTGAGCTTCCACTGGGCTCTTCTGGTCGATGGACTGCCTGGGATGTAGCCACAGAAGCGCGTACAGAAGCGGTTTCCGCTCAGCCTTTGATTAGCACATCTGAGCAACACAAGACTGAAACCACATGAAACCACCTCTCATCGAATCGCCAATTTTTTTGGTAAAACTGCCAACGGCTTTCAAACTCTTCCCTCTCAGTGCGCCACCCCCCATTTCGTTTGGCGTTATAGGATTGTGCATTCTCCAGTGGAGACCCTCATGGGGGACACCAAGCCCCCCCCCGCCGAAAAGCCTGCAAGGACACCTTCACGTTCGGCAACCCTAATCCGAAGCTTGGACACTTCCCCCTCTCTGAGCCGAAGCTGTCCATCCCTTGGGCTAGACTCTAGGCTCTCATGGTCTTCTACAATGCCCCCGCCCCCCCCCGCCCCAAAAAAGATCTTTCAGACCAACGTGTGAGGAAGGTGTCACCAGGGATCCTATAAATCTTCCAACAACTGGCAATCACCATGGCTCTAAAAAGCGCTGTGTGAAGACTCCCGAACGCTTTGAAACGTTTGGCCCTGGCCCATGCGTTCTCCAGAATGGCCCCAATGTCCCCTCACCAAGATCCACCAAGTGGCATGACCTCCGCCAAGCCTTCCGGGCTGCTCAGGAAGCTTGAAAGGTTCAAGTCTGCGGAGGCTTGGCCAGAAAGACTGGATCATGCAGGAAGGTGTATTTTTTAAAAACTACCCTTTGGGTACATCAAAAATCATCAAATCACCACCAGACCTCCAGGGCGTGGGCTCGATGCACGTTTTGGTCGGTGGAGGGCGTGGGCTCGATGCCTTAACTCGATGAGTTTAAACATGTTTAAACTCAACGGTTTGTCCTGCACATTTGCCCGGCCAGGTCGGGCGCTCTTCAGGTATCTTCACCACGCTGGGATGAACGAGCCAACACGCCTCTCCTCCTGGGGGATTCTGGGTCTTCCACGCCTTCCACCTCCTGTCACCGTTCACCCGGGAAATTCACCTCACAAAACAGAACATTCCCGAAAAAAACGCCCGGAGGGGGAGGTGAGGTGAGGGAGCCCACCTTCCAGTGGAAAGCTCATGGCATCATCCAGTCGATGTCTCCTGACCGGCCGCGGTGAAAGGGCTGGCCGTGGACGGTTTGCTGTCCAGGAATGGGGCAAAGGATGCACATGCGCCGGAAATCACCAGAAAATGGAGGTTCACCCATACACTTCACCCTGCCAGCAAGCAAAGCCAGGTATCCGCATATCCTATAAATTGAGGCTTGAGGATGATGATCTGTTCATTGTGGGCCCAACTTCCTGGAATTCCTCCTGTACACTGTATCACCTGCCTGCGCAAGCTTTGCCCAGGGCAGCTGAAGGTTTCAAACGTCAAACTGGTTTCACAAGGGCTGACATCATCTGGCTTTCCCTTCAGGCCCCCCCAATACACTTGAGTCATGGCTCTGCCCATACTTGAAGTCGAAACGCTTCAACTGCAGCATCAACACTGACCTGGGCCACTGGATGGCTGGATGGACATGGTGTGGCATACATGGACATGTACAGTAATATAAAGGTGTTTGATGTAATTAATAACTTTCACATTTCACTGAACACTGGTTTCATGTTACTATGTATGTGATTTCAGTTCCGAGAGTCCCTCGATTAAATCAATGGGTTTCACAACAAAATCTTTGAATCCGTGGGAAGCCGAAGCCACTTTGCACCTTGACTGCACAAAGCATACAAGGTCTTACAGGATTGTTGATGAGGCCCTAAGTATATAATCCCGAGTGCCGATTAAAAAACGGACCCCAATCAAAAAAGTCATGTCGGAACATCCTAAATACGGTGTATATGTGTGTTTAAATTACCGCCCTTTAAAGCCGCTACTAAACTACCAACATGGCCGATTTTGGAGGAGTTTGTTTTATATAGATTTATTTGGTTCCAAAAACAACCAATAAAGGTCTTTGTAGGGGAAAAGCCCTTTGATCTGGAGGTTTTTTTGAATTTTTGATACGAGTTTAATAAAGGATATAAATATAACATTTTCCTGGGTGACTTGTTGGTTTTGAAGCTCTTCCCAGGTGACCCTGTTTTGGACCCCCCCCCGATTTCAGGGACACCCTATTTAAAAAAAAGCGACCGAGGTTTCCTTATTGGGGGGGCATGTTTTTTGATAGGTGGACAGGATTAAGGCATGGACTCTGGGCATCTTGGTTTGGGTGGGAGAAAGGCAATAAGTGAAAATAACAGCTTGCCAAAAAAGGAACGAGGTGCGGCGTGACCGCCAAAGAAATCGTGCTGAAGGCTCGGACCTTCGTCTGGCAGCCGTCGCACCACAGAGCGTTGTCCTTTCGCAAAAGCTTGCAAAAGCGAAGGCCCAGCGTGTGGAAGAGGGAGCCGTCTGAGGGTGTTGCTTCGAAGCCAGCATCGATCCTGGTCACCCTTTTTTCTCAGGATTTAAGATTGTTCATGACCACCTGCAACAAATGATGTGTTGCGAGATACCTCCTGATGTTCACCAAGAAGCCCCCACCATTCTAAAACAGCTGGGACATGGCAATCTCCCCCTGGCGCCACCAAGGTGCCGCACGCGTCTTCCGCGCGGAGACGCGTCTTCCGCGCGGTGCCCTCTCCCCGACCTCGTCCAGCTGTTCTGTCTTCGTGAGCGACTCGAAAGAGCTTCGCAGGGTGGTCTCGGCCTGACATCCACAGTCTCAGCCAAGGCATGACTCCACCTTATGAGAGGTTATGGGTACCGCACTGGGACGGTCTATAGGGTTCTTCC